GATGATGATGATGATGATTATGGCGCAGCACTGGCCAGCAAAACAGAAGTACTGCTCAGCATTATTCGGCCATCTTTGCTAGTTGCAGTGCACTGCTCAGGCATTACAACACCGACGTCTTGACAAATAAAAACAGGGAATTAAAGTAGTGATCACAAAAACAGAAATCTCCGCCGTCTCGTTAGCGCTAACGAGATCCACACGTCTCGTACATAGGCACCAAATTCAGTGCGACAGTGCACTACCATATTTGATATGGTGCACTAGAAAAGGGGACTGTAAGAAAAGCTGCACAAAAAAACCTTCAGCAGTTTTCTAGAAAACTAATGCATGTCACAAGAAGCAGCAACAAAGAAGACCTTGCCAACATTGTAATGGCTGTGTGCGCCAACTTGGGTGCACAAAACTGCAGTAGTGTGCAAAAAGTGTACTGTTGTGTCTGCTGTTAAAGTGCACAGTGGTCAGAGGAAGGAGAAGAAGAGCTGCCTGCTGAGAAACAAAGGCAAACACGGTGGTAAATTAATTACCACCTCTGACCATGTGTTAGTGATGATGGTGATGGTGTTTGCAGCAACTCTTACAACTACAATGTAGTAGCACTGCAGTGCAAATGATGCACTGATGATGATGCAAATGATGGACGCATCCATTAAGCGTAATTAACGAGAAAGGGAGGCAATGGTAATGCACATACATGGACACTTGAAAGGGGAGAAATGGAAACACACATCATCAAAGTGTCGTATGAGATGCGATAAACAAAAATAGCAAGACTCTTACAAGTAATAAAGCACACCTGTTGACACAATCATTGAAAATATTCTGATTTATTCTTAGAAAAACGGAATCTTTTATAACAAGTAAAGCAACTAGAACAACTAAAACAACAAACTTGCATCAACTTCAAAGTCAAGGTTTGTTTGGCAGTCAAACTTTGTTCGGAAATCTAAACACACACACATTCACTGTGGCTAACTTTAGCCTGAATAGCAATTCTCCCCTCAGGCAGAGCAAACGGTGTGTGGAGGGCGTCAAGAGCAGCAGCATCAGCAGCATCTCCATCATCAACAATATCGCATACTACTAAACTAATTTCTAATCCAATAGAGAAGTAGAACACTCGGCATGTGCTGGCGTAGTTGGCCAAGTCAGCTCAGCTCAGAAAAGTGGCCACTGGCTGTGAAGGTGTTCGGCGCATCACCTACTGCTGATGCCTAATGGACACCTTCACCGGTGGGGCCACTTTGCAGCCACTCTTCAGTTTAGAAAAAAGAAGTGGCTTTAGCAGTCGTTCAGGTCACGAAAACAGAGTTGCTGCTGCTGTTAAGGTTGCTGAAGCAAAAAAGGGTTCGAACTCTGCTGTGAAAGCTTTTGGAACACACGCACACTGACAGTGTTTGGTGGTCGGCTGCTGCTGCACTGTCATTATGTTTTGGATACTATTAAAATTATTAAAATCCAATTACATAGTTGGTGGTAGTGATGGGAAAAAGTAAAGGAGCAGGGTGTATTAAAATGGTTGAAATGATACAGAAGTGAACGAGAGAAAGAGATTGGTTTTATTGTGGCTGGCCTGGCAGAGTTCTCATAGTGTTTGCCCAAAAAGAGGTCACTTTTGCGTGGATAAACATTTGGAGTTCAAAAACTGAGTAAATAACAACAAAACTAGAAAAAATGAACGTCATAAAACGATACTATTTACTCATTTTCATGCATGAGAGACTTAACCGAGTAGAACAGAATCGGTAAATGGCGCAAAGATTGAATTTCATCATCTTTCTCATAATCAAACTCTCTTTCCCCATAAAAACCAAACCGAGTTTTGCTCTGATTTGGTGTACCGATAAGGGAGAAGATCAGATGAAATGAGATGAAGAACCACGAAGTGCCACGACTAGATATCAGTAAAATAGAAAGTAGGGAAACAGATGAAGCAGATGCACCACCACCACCAAATTGAAGTGGTTGCTGTTGCTTCAGTGGTCGTTGTTATTTATAGCCTACTGAAGCATTTTGCGATTTACCCGCTCTCCAATGCTACCACCGACGACGACGACGACGATGATGATGATGCCCAACTCGTGCATTCATTGTCTCTCCGAGGATCGATTAATAGACAGGGCAAGGGAAGAAGGAGGAGAAGAACAATCTGCATCGAATGGAGGAAGAAAGTTGACTGAAGAAGAAGAAGAAAGCAGTGTTCAGAAGAAAAGAAGCCAAAAGAGCCACGCCGCAATTCAGCCCACTAATGACCACTGCTATCATCATCATAAACCAGATCCATAGGTAATGGTGACCGTGTGGCACAAACGCACAGTTTATGAAATTGAGACCATTACCGTTATTCTCAGGCGGGAAGAAGGAAAAGCTGATGCGCAGGTGTTGTCAGTGGTCAGAGTTTCACCACTACAAAAATGACAACGAAAGCAACAAAAAAGAAGGAAAGAAAGTTGGTGATAAGAACGAAAAGAAAACACGGGAAGAAAGTGACAATAATCATCAGTCGTTTGCAGGAGCACACAAACGGAGCAAATGGGGCAAATAAAGTACATTTCATATGCTGTGGCCACTAATGCGGAAACATTATAAAGGAGAAGTGCCCTCACTTCTTTCCGCCAGTGTCATTCGANAAGAAGGAAAGAAAGTTGGTGATAAGAACGAAAAGAAAACACGGGAAGAAAGTGACAATAATCATCAGTCGTTTGCAGGAGCACACAAACGGAGCAAATGGGGCAAATAAAGTACATTTCATATGCTGCGGCCACTAATGCGGGAACATTATAAAGGAGAAGTGCCCTCACTTCTTTCCGCCAGTGTCATTCGACTTGATCGACTTTGACTTTCCTGAGCCTCCGCCACCGCCGCCCTTGTTCGTGCCACTGGGACTCTTTCGGGAGGTGCCACCACCACCAGCACCTCCACTGGAACTGCCCTTCAGAGCGCCCTTCGACTCCGTGGTGCTCACCGCCGACTTGGCCGCCCCTTTGGCCTTCAGTGAGCTGCTGTCCTTGCTCTTGACGCTTTCCGGCGTGTGAAGGCTCTTGCTGGAGCCGGTCGACTCTGGTTTGATGATCACAACGGTCATATTGTCCTTGCCGACAATGCCCGTCGGCGGCATCTTCTCCGGGCGAATCTTGTCAATCATCCGACGGGCAATCTTCGCCAGTGGCCACTTGGCGTCCAGGCCGCGCTGCACAAAGGCCACCACCGCCTGGTTGTCCATGGCGTTCCAGATGCCGTCGCACATCAGCACGAGGAAGGCGTCCTTCTTTGCGTTGGCCGGCTCCACGGTGAGGTGCGGCCAGGCGACCACCAGCGTCTCCTTCTCCGAGAGCTCGGCGCCGGTCTTCTCATTGGTGCGCGCCTTCAGGTGGTGGTCGCCAAAGGCGCGCGACACGTCGATGACGCCGTTGACGCGGCCGTCCATCACCTTCCCGCCCGCCTTCTCAATGCGGGCCCGCTCCTCGGGCACTGTCGGCTTGTGGTCGACGCTCAGTTGAATGGCTCGGCCGTCCCGCGCCAGCAGGCACCTCGAGTCGCCCACATTCGCCACGTAGTAAATGTCGTTCTTGACCAGGAGGACGACGCCGGTGGAGCCGGTGAGAAGCGCCACTGATTCGGCCACCACCGGGTGGTTGACCGTACACATACGGTGGTACTTGAGCAGCTTCTCGCTGTTGCACTTTGACTTGAGCAGCGCCGAATCCAGTTCCATGAAGGTCTCCTGGAGGCCGCGCTGAATGTGCCCTCGCCGGNGATGTCGTTCTTGACCAGGAGGACGACGCCGGTGGAGCCGGTGAGAAGCGCCACCGATTCGGCCACCACCGGGTGGTTGACCGTACACATACGGTGGTACTTGAGCAGCTTCTCGCTGTTGCACTTTGACTTGAGCAGCGCCGAATCCAGTTCCATGAAGGTCTCTTGGAGGCCGCGCTGAATGTGCCCTCGCCGGTAGGGGCCGCACTTCTCCAGGTACTCGGCGAAGTTCTGCGCAAGAAAGAGGGCCACCTCGGGGCCGTTGTGGCCGTCAAAGACGGCGAAAAGCGAGGTGGTCGAGTCCAGGTTCAGCTTGGCGATGTGCGTGTCCTCCTGGGTGGTGCGCCAGCCCTGGCAGTTGGCCGCAGCGTAGGAGAAGCGGGCGTTGTGGCCCTCGTCCACGTCCACCTTGGTCACCGCCTGACTTAGATAGGGGGACTGTGCCATGGCGGGACGGGGCTGATAGGGCTGGTGGTGGTGATCGGACAAAGAAGTGGANCGCGTAAGAGAAACGGGCGTTGTGGCCCTCGTCCACGTCTACCTTGGTCACCGCCTGACTTAGATAGGGGGACTGTGCCATAACGGGACGGGACTGATGGGGCTGGTGGTGGTGATCGGACAAAGAAGTGGAGGTGGAGGAGGAGGAAGAAGGAGTTTTCTTGCTCGGACAAATGGTGGTAGTGGACAAAATCAGGTAAGAGGTGTCAGGAAAAAAGGCAGCGTTTGTAAACACAGTCGATAAACGGCGGTAAAACTCCCAATGTGATTGCCTTTCATATCAAGTAGTAATAATATCGAGTAAGTTCTATTTTTAGAACTTCTAATGCTAATTTGGTGATTGCAACAGTTTGATTCTTGGCCCATCAGTGTGATGACGGTGATTATCCCATGACACTGAAAAGTATGGCATTGACATCAATGGAAATGTAATAAACTTGTTCCAAAGTTGATGATGGGACAAATTCACGCATTTGACAAAAGCTAGTGCAAGAGATGCACTCATTTCAAAAATATATAAACAGATGCAAACTAAAATAACCAAGTGTAATTACAGTAGCAATTACAACAAGAAAAAGAGGAAATGGACATCTACGTTGTCATTCGGTCTGCCTACTTTTGTGTTCATCAACTTGTTGTGTTTGTAGTAAAAAGATGCCAGCAAGTGCTATTCTTATCATTGCCCAGCCAGCAGTTAAAAAGTTTCATTTCATTTTTAATTAAACAAACAAACAAACAAGTAGGGGAAAGGAAGAGGGACTGGAGCATCAATTAGTTTTTTGTTGTGTACTGAAAAGAGCAGTTTGTAAGTGACACGCAAGGCGGCAATTCAAGCTAGCTCACTGACATAGATTTGTAATTTTAGCAATGCAAAAAATGGAATTAGACAAACACAAAAATAAGTGAGTGCACCTAGACCAACAAGTAAAACAGCTACAGCAGAAAACATCCGAAAGTGGTCATTTAAACAGACAGACACAGTGTAGACTAATTGGCAATTAATAGTACAGTAATTAGTAAAGTCATTTTATGTTAAACAGTCCACTGCAACTAAAAGTCTAAGTAAAGTTCTTTTTGGAATGACCAAGTTGCTAAACCTAGCAGCTAAACTCAAGTGCTCAAACGGTTGCACTAAAGTGGCACCAGTGAACCGTCTCGAATAAAAACTTATGAGAAAAAAGTGATCACTGGATGAGCAAAAAGAAGAAAGGAGAAGGCAAATGACAAGGTCTGTGGGAAAAGTTGATGCTGCTGCTTTTGCTCCTGTCAAATATACATCGCTATGCTAATAAAAATAGTACCCACATAGGTAGCGGACAAAATGCTGAAAAAAGACACTAGTCATTCTGAGATAGTTGAGACAGTATCCTCTGTCAAAGTCGACTGCGTGAGAATTTTACTGCACTACTTTGCTTTAATTTCTACCTACCCAGTGTGCGCAATATGGCATTGCTGCTAAAGATATTATTGCCCACAGTGCACTTTTTGCTTACCTAACTGCTTCTTCTGGTTGCCATCCGCACTGATTATGCAAACACTCTTTGGTGACATTTTGGCACACTAATTTTGGCCGCTCTAAAATAGCAATAATAACACTGCCAAAAAGTTGGTCATTGGAAAACTTCCAATACTATCAGTTCGATTTATGGAAGGGCAGCAGCAGCAGAAGCAACAAGAGGAAGAGGGGATGATTGATGCAATCACCGGTGTCGATTGACAAAGTAAACAGGTTTTATTAATAATATTAAAATATTGTACCTGCTGTTTTTGGGGAGAACCAGTGCACAGAAATTGCACTCTCAGCGACCTGGTAAGATTAACCTTAGCACCACTCTTATTGCCAGCACCGCAACAACAGCATAAAGTGGAGGCAGAAAAGTGTAAATCTCCCCAAAAGAAGTGTAGAAGCCGATAATAGTAGCGGTAGTGCATCCTTTCATCTCAATCGATTGAGCAGTAACAGCAGCAGCAGCCTTGACGGTGGAGCAGTCAATAATAAAAATCACCGCATTTGGAGCCCTTCTCTTCCTTCTTTCCTGATAGATTACAAGGAGAAAGAACAGCTGCCTCCACTTTCCCATATGGCTGCTGTTGCTGTTGCTGATGGTGTATGTAAAACCTGGCTGTCTGCTTGCAGCTTCCATTAATCAACGAATTTGTGGCCATAAGTGGCTTATATCTCCAGTGGTAACAGACAGGCTGCGTGGTGACAGGCACGGACAACGGAAAGAAAAGCGCGGAAAACAGGTGAACAGTGTGGAAAGCAAAGTAAAAGAATCAAAGTGCATGTTTAGGTGCTGGTGTATTGTTTTACAAAAAAACATGATTCTGCTAGCATGAGAATTATTAAAAATAGCTGAGAATTAGAGTCAGACTTTGAAACTGATTGCTCTTAAAATTTATACGTGAAAACAAGTGAACACTTTTCTTCTTCCTCATCAAACTGACCGACGAGTAAAGAACACCCATACAATTGACAGTAAAGGGGGGAGGGAAAAACAACAAACAATTAGTGTGCTCCAATTAGTGTGAGCAAGCTTTGACACGCGGAAAAAAAGACAATGAAATGGAAATAAAGAAAAAAAGTTTGAAGGTTTAAATGGGGAACTACTTACGTGATCATCGTCAGACAGAGTGGTAAAAAATCCTATGGTGGTGATGGTGGTGATGTCGCCCTTGGTTTTCCCAAGTTGTCGTCTTGCTGTACAAACACACACACACAAACAATTCAGCACTGCACTAGCCCCGTGGCATTAAAGTGGTGATGATCTTCCCAGAAAAAGTAGTGGAGGTCTCCTCTAACCTTACGGGAGATTAGATTGAGAATGACGACGACGACTGTGGCCGTGCTGACGACGTCTCTCACTGTGTCAATGGTGGTGATGATGATTCACTTGGTTTACAAACAAAAAGTGCGTCTGCACAGACACAATCAGTGCACCCGATCGTTGGTGGTGATGGCACTGAAAAGCAGAGACATAAGACAACAGCTGTTGTTGCAGCATTGGCAGTACGACGCAAGTAGAACACAGTGTTTGGGGATAAGAGAGAAGTAGTGAAGGAGTGAAGATGATGCTAATTGTCATTTGACGGCACTGTGCTTTGTCTGCCGATAAGCCGAGAGTTACGGAGAACGGACGGCATCACACACAAACACACAATTACCACAATTACCAGAGATCAGTCGGAAAGCTGTAAAGGGAGCACACTGCTGTGGTTTAGCTTTCTACAGTTGGTTGAGAAAAACGGAGAGCAAGAGATCTGCTCCNGATGTGGTGATGCTGCCGCAATGTCTCACTGTCTCTCCACTTGGTAGGTCAAGTACGTTGATGCTGATGCTAATGTTGATGTAAGTGAATGAGTGTGTCGGTAGGGCATTAGTCGCATATGTAGANAGTGGCCGTGCTGACGACGTCTCTCACTGTGTCAATGGTGGTGATGGTGATTCACTTGGTTTACAAATAAAAAGTGCGTCTGCACAGACACAATCAGTGCACCCGATTGTTGGTGGTGATGGCACTGAAAAGCAGAGACATAAGACAACAGCTGTTGTTGCAGCATTGGCAGTACGACGCAAGTAGAACACAGTGTTTGGGGATAAGAGAGAAGTAGTGAAGGAGTGAAGATGATGCTAATTGTCATTTGACGGCACTGTGCTTTGTCTGCCGATAAGCCGAGAGTTACGGAGAACGGACGGCATCACACACAAACACACAATTACCACAATTACCAGAGATCAGTCGGAGAGCTGTAAAGGGAGCACACTGCTGTGGCTTAGCTTTCTACAGTTGGTTGAGAAAAACTGAGAGCTAGAGATCTGCTCCACACATTAGAAGGACTTAGAGGGCACACTTTTAATTCAATTTAATTCCCTATTAATTGACATCCAGTCATTAGTAATGATTGTGCTGCTGCCGCAATGTCTCACTGTCTCTCCACTTGGTAGGTCAAGTGCGCTGATGCTGATTTTGATGTAAGTGAATGAGTGTGTCGGTAGGGCATTAGTCGCATATGTAGAGTGCATCCCTCTCACTCTGATTGCCAGCAGATGCGACAAATAAACAGTGTCCCGTGCCTGTCTGCGTGGTGGCGGTAATGCTATCAGCAGCTACAGTCATTTACCCGTCCACTTGATTACCCGTCCATTAAATGGTTCAATTAAGAAAACAGCAAGTGCAGCTGCTGATGTGCTTTAGAAGAAAGCAGACGACGAGGCAGATGATAATGAAGATGGCAATGCTAATGATGATGATGATGATGATGAGAAGGGGGCGAATGAAGATGATACACTGTAGAGATGTTGATGCACTAGTGAACTGATTACAACTGTTTGTTTGCTACTTTTTGCTGTCGCTTTAGTAATTTTTCATCAGATGAATAGGTCAGTAGTAGTAGTGTGTTGATAATATTCACAAAATGAATGCGAGGTTTATCGTCTGCTAAGCAGTTTGACATTGAAACCACAGTGCACTTAATGCACCGAGCATCTAAATAACAAGATCACATTACCAGCAATGTGTAGCACAGTTACAACAGTTGAATTCCATTGAAAAGGGTCGAGTTCACTTTCAGTGTGCGGCTAGCGGTGCACTGCACACAAACACACGGCCACAATCAAACTGCGCAATGCACCGCCGCTACTGTCAAATTAACGAGGCGACACTGAGTGGCGAAAGAGCTAGGTGATGAATGGCAAAGTTGGTGTTTATGTCGATCAGATGATGCTGCTCTAGGAGGAAACTTGACAATGTTGGCAATGAACTTCTAAAAATATAAAAGGGAAGCAAATCAGTTGATGAAAAGTACAGTCACATTTTATACAGATCAGCAATGTTAATTAAAATGTATCATTCAAATACCAAAGAGTGATCACATATTCCTTTTATTAGCCCATAATTAGTGCAAGTGCAAAATCGACAAAAAAATCTACAAGATTACTAGTAGATGTAGAAGGATGATGATCATGATGATGATGCAATTGTCAGCTGAAACACTGTGCAGGCTAATTTAAATTTCTAGAACAGGAATGTGAGAAGAGAGAACAGGCAACAGTGTTCACTGGTTGGAATATTAAAATTTCAGTACATGAAGCACCTCAGTGTTGAGTGTGTGTGTGTGCAGTTGACAAGCGAAAGTAGACTGACTGACTGAATCAGTGTCGCCGGTGTGCACTACTGCACTAGTTGCAAGTCACCATCTGAGAGACAGAGACAGCGAAGGGGAGAGGGAAAGAGAAGGAGAGAAAGAGACAACAAACAAAAAAGAAAAAAATGTCACCAAGGGAAACCACTACCAGACCACCACCATCATCATCATCATCGACATCGACTACTCTTCTTCTTCTGCACATTTTCTTTTCCTGACACCAGAGCAGCACTACTACTACTGCTATCATTGCCTTCTATCTATTTTCTCCTTTACACTTTGCTGTTTTTGGTGTCAGTATCGCCTGTACTACTGCAGCACTCTGTAGACATTCTGTGCAGTGTGCACTTGACTTTCACTGCTGGCCACCCAAATTTAATTGTGAGTGCTGTTGAGGCACTCGATTCCCGAGTGCTGTCTGTCTGAGTGACACAATGAAGGCACCGCCATTACATGAAGGCACTTTCACCAGAGCTGCTTCTGTTTGCTAGTCAATACACGAGACATGAAGGTTTTGTCAGTGACAAAGAAAGAAAGAAAGAAGAAGAGACAGACAATTTGCATGAAGAAGTGTGTGACACCTGACTGCTGCGACAACAATTGCCACTTGAACTTGACATGTCACATCACAGTCAGGCAGATAATGACATCAGTTGTAGTGGTGTCGTCTTCTTCTTTTGTCCATTGACACTGACATTACAAGACACCTCAATGTGTCCGCGCGCGCAGACGATGTAATTAGCCACCAAATTAAGGCCAATTAATCAAATGATTTCGTGGTGAGACCTGATTTGAGGGATTGAGTTGAACAGCGGTGTGTGAACGCTTGGTGCACTAAATGAAGTGATGAAATGGATGATACAAAACAATCGAATTAAAAAACTNAGTCAGGCAGATAATGACATCAGTTGTAGTGGTGTCGTCTTCTTCTTTTGTCCATTGACACTGACATTACAAGACACCTCAATGTGTCCGCGCGCGCAGACGATGTAATTAGCCACCAAATTAAGGCCAATTAATCAAATGATTTCGTGGTGAGACCTGATTTGAGGGATTGAGTTGAACAGCGGTGTGTGAACGCTTGGTGCACTAAATGAAGTGATGAAATGGATNATGATTTAAGGGATCGAGTTGGACAGCGGTGTGTGAACGCTTAATGCACTAAATGAAGTGATGAAAAAGATGATACAAAACAATCGAATTAAAAAACTTCCAAGTCGGAGTCGTTTGCACGCAGTGGCATGACTTTCTTTAACTTGGTCGTTGGGATTGACAAACCTCCGCGAGTCCCCACACTGAGCGGCATCAGTGGGCAGAGCTCTCCCCATTAATCCTGGGTGGGTGGGGCCGCGTTTCTCGAGAATTCCGCCGAGGATTCCCACTCACGCTCCTCAAGGCATCAACGTCGATGATCTCCTAAACCGCTCGGCCACTGCTTGAGTGCCTGTTTGCGATGTTCTTTCCCATCAAATGCGACCAAAAAAAATTAGCGGCAAACAAATTCAAAACTGCAGACAGTTGAACTCCATCTGTTGGGTGAAAACCCGATGACGAGTACATAGTGTTTTTGCGCAGTGAAAACAGCTGGGCTGGGTGAAGGTAAACACTAGCNCTGATTTGAGGGATTGAGTTGAACAGCGGTGTGTGAACGCTTGGTGCACTAAATGAAGTGATGAAATGGATGATACAAAACAATCGAATTAAAAAACTTCCAAGTCGGAGTCGTTCACACGCAGTGGCATGACTTTCTTCAACTTGGTCGTTGGGATTGACAAACCTCCGCGAGTCTCCACACTGAGCGGCATCAGTGGGCAGAGCTCTCCCCATTAATCCTGGGTAGGTGGGGCCACGCTTCTCGAGAATTTTGCCGAGGATTCCCACTCACGCCCCTCAAGGCATCAACGTCGATCTCCTAAACCGCTCGGTTTCGCTCGGCCACTGCTTGAGTGCCTGTTTGCGATGTTCTTTCCCATCAAATGCAACAAAAAAAATTAGCGGCAAACAAATTCAAAGCTGCCGACAGTTGAACTCCATCTGTTGAGTGAAAACCCGATGACGAGTACATTGTGTTTTTGCGCAGTGAAAACAGCTGGGCTGGGTGAAGGTAAACACTAGCTCGTCGTCGTTAGCTCAAAACAAAACGCTGCAAAGTGTGACGCAAAAATCGTCAGCGCTTATTTCACCCCATCCATTGGGTTTCTCATCTATTCTTCTACCTTCTTTGATTGTCACTGCTACAACCTCACCGCTACAACCGTACCACAAACACTAACGACGCTTCAGAAGCTTGGTGGTGTTTATCGACTTTTTCAGCGTATTCCTACATTTCACCTGCCTAAAAAACTATACATGAGAAAGAAAATTATCATGAGTGACTATTCTGATAAGCAGCACCTTACGACGTTGAAGATTCTTATCATCGGAGAGAGCTATGTAGGAAAATCCAGGTACGTGTTATACCCTCTCTCTTTCTGATGCTTTAGAGGCATTTCCATTACACCCCGGACTTTTCCTCTTTCTTTGTGAACAGTTTGCTGCTTCGGTACACTGATGATGTGTTTTCAAATGACGTCGGAGCCACTATTGGTAAGCTTTTTGATGACGATAAAATAGAGAGAAGGAAATTAAAATCCTCGCTTTTTCAGGCGTGGACTTCAAGAACAAGAAGATAACACTCGATAACAACATCATCAACCTGGCCATCTGGGACACGGCCGGCTCGGAGCGATTTAGAGCACTAACGCCCAGTTTCTATCGTGGCGCCCACGGGGCCATCTTGGTGTACGACGTCACCGCCCGGCCGACCTTCGAGAAGCTGAACACCTGGCTGGAGGAGTTGAACAGCCACGCGGACAAGCCGGGCATTGTGAAGATGCTGGTGGGCAATAAGATCGACAAGGAGGGCCGCGAGGTGAGTCGGAAGGAGGGCATGAGCTGGGCCCGGGCGCACAACACCCTTTTCATTGAGGCCAGTGCCAAGACCAAGGAGGACGTGGAGTGCGCCTTCGAGGAGCTGGTGGAGAAGATCATCCAGACGCCCGGGCTGTGGGAGCCAAGGCACTCCTCCTCCTCGGGTGACCCCAGCAAAGTCAACCTGGACCAGCCAAAGGATGGACAGGGCTCAGGCGTTGGTGCCTGCTGTAATTGGATATAAAACATTCAAAACCGTTGTTTCAATTTGATTTGCAAAGGTATGCTCTCGTAGTTCTCCGGTTCTCTATGCACTTGTACCTCCCATTTATACCGTGTCTCACACAGCACTTGTACAGACGTATTATATCTTATAAAACAGTAATAAAAAATGAAGTAACAACAGTATGTACAGGTCATTTTAATTACCAGTGAATGTCTCACAGATCGTTTAATGATGATGAACAAGAACAAGAGGAGTTCTAGCAGCCCAGTTGTGATTTAAGCGCAATGAAGGACTCATTGACCTTGGCCAGGGCAGAGGTGTTGCCGCGAATGGCCAGCTCAAAGGCCTTTTTCATGATCAGGTAACGGTATTCTGTGAAATGAAAGAGAGTTTTAGAACATCTCCTTAGGCAAAAATGTGCTTCCACGCTTACCTTGTGCCAGAATGACAAACTTGGGCACCTGCTCCAGCGCCTGCTTCACCACATCAGATGAGTCCGACTGCAGACAGCGCAGGTAGGTGCTGATGATCGACCGGGAGAGGTTGGGGTTGTGCTGCAGTCCCCGCAGCGACAGCTTGATGGCAGCCTCACAGGTGAAGGGGTTCATAAAGCAGGAGCGAATCTCATCCTAGAAGAAAAAAAGAAAGGGTTACAGCACAACACCAAACAAATAAATCACCCGATTTCCACACACTTACCAGCAAGTACTCTGCCACTTCGGGCATTCTTTCCGACTGCTTGGAGATCTCCCCCAGCGCAATGATCAGCTTGTCCTGACTTGCCTGGGCGCCGCGCAGCTTCACCAGGCTGTCCTGACAGGTACGTGCCAGCAGAAAGCGGTGCTGCGTGTGCAGCCCGGAGATGATCGACTTGATCATGTTCCCCTGGAGGGGATACGCCAGAGAAAGCTCACTAAAAAGGAAAAAGAATGGTCAGAACAGAAAAACTAAATACATTGCAATTGACTTACGTCAGTCCGCCCTTCTGCGACTTGATCCAGTAGTTGGCCTGGTCAGAGTCGTGCTTCAGCCAGTCGTCGAGGAGATCAATGAAGATGTGCAGCATCGGCAGGAGCTCCTCATTGGAGCGGTGGTGCCGCGGCATGTAGTGATAGGTGAGGAAGAAGTCCATGTACAGGTCGAGAATCTGCATCACACCACGACTCTGCTTCGCCCAGAGGTGCGGCCGCAGCAGCCGCAGGATGTTCAGGAACTTGAAGAAGATCTTCAGCAGGTTCTGGCTCTTGAAGGCCTCGTAGTTCAGCAGGCTCACCTTGCCGCCTAGCAGCGCCGGTATCATCGTCAGCTGGCGGATGAGGAGGAGCGGGTGGCGGGAGGCGATCTTGAGGATGGCCAGCTCCCAGATGCGCATCTGCTCCTCGTTGACGATGTGCGGCCCGTCGACGTACATGAAGGAGGTGATCAGGTTGTGGGTGATCTTGTCCATGAAGCAGGGCCCGCTCTGAATCAGCTCCAGCTGGTCGTCGTCCAGCTTGCTCGGCAGGTCAATGTTCGGAATGTGCAGGTACAGTCTACAGTGGAAAGGGGTGTTAGTAGAAGTGTACTTACAATGAACAGAAAGCACAAACCTGGTATACAACTCCAGCGCGACCTTCTCATCAGAGCCGTCGCCCTTTTCGGTGTACTCCCTCAGCAGGCCGACCACAAAGTCCACCTTGGACTTGTCCACGCAGCAGCCTTTCACCACTAGCTCGGTCCGCTTGGCGACCGCATTCTCCAGAATGACGTACTGAATTAGCTTGCGAATCTGCCGTTCACTGAGCTGGAGGACGTCCTCCGCCTTGGCAAAGACCTTCGAGCCGCTGTCCGAGCCGCGGTCATCCCTGCCGATGGACAGCTTCGGCGAGCTCAGGCAGATGGTGAGAAAGTCGAGAATGGCGCTGGGGTTCAGCTGCTGTCCCGCCTCGGAGTCGTCGTTCTCATCACTTTTGTCTTCTTTATCACCACCCTCTCCATCCTCCTCATCCTCGTCCTCGTCCTTGTGGTCATCACTGAGCAGGTAGTCGATGCAGTGGTTCATCGTCGAGAAGTTCGACTTGTGGAGGAGGAGCGAGAGAAAGTACGGCCGATTTCGGGAGAAGATGACCGACTGGAGGAAGGAGTTCGAGTCCTCCAGCTCCGTGTCCTTGTTGTAGTACTTCTCCACCGCCAGGTCCTTGTACACCTCGCACCAGGCGGCATTCTGCGCCTGTTCGCTGGCGACAAAGACAAAGGTGCGCAGAAACTTGTCCAGGTGCTCGGGCGTCCGCAGCTGGTAAGCTGCTGCACTCTTCTTCTTCGAAGCCTTTACCTTCTTGCCCTTCGCCGAGGGCTCCTTGGCAAAGAAGCGGTCAAAGAAGAGCCAGAAAGAGGTGTCCTCAATTGACTCCACTGATTCGAGCTCTAGGGCGAGCAGTGACTTTCGCAGGGCAGTCAGGTCCGAGTTGAAGCCACAGTGCTTCGGGTCCTTTACCGCCAGAATGGTGATCACGTTGAAGATGGAGTTGAAGGCGCCGCCGACAATGAGATTAGCCAGGGAGGGCAGGTTGCCACTAAACTCACTCAGAAAGAGGCGGGTCAGCTTCTTCGCCTTGGTAGCACTTTTCGTGTCCTCCAGCTCGGCGGCGATGGCTCGCGTCAGCTGTGAGATGCGCAGCACGTCCCTCTCCTTGAAGATCTTCAGAATGTCGTCCTTCTTGAAGGTGCCAGCTCCTCCTTCCGCCTGCGTCTCCTTCTTCGACTTGGAGAACAGCGAGGACGGCAATCCTTTGCTAACATCATCCTTGTCAATAGCTTCACTCATTTCAGAGTCCTCGTTCTAAAAGATTAAAATGTTATTAAAAATAAAACTAACTCTAAAACAATTCACTTACCTTAACCGGCCCCTCCCAGTCGCCCTTGTAGTTTAGGAGATTGCGCGCAAACTTGACGCCCTGCACCACACCCTGGCTCCAGTAGAGACGCAGGGCGGCCAGCTTCTTTGGGCGGTCAAAGGGCAGCGCCCGCAGCTGGCGAATCTCCGCCGCCGACAGTCGGTCGAGCGACTGGAGAATGCGCGTCACGGCGTTCACCGACAGCCCATAGTAGTCGAGGTAGCCCACCAGCTGCCCGGGCCGCAGCTGCTCAATCACCAGGTGGAGCACCTCGGCGGAGCTGGCGGTGAGCAGGCGGCGGGTGAGGGGCTCGTCGAGGAGGGGCACCGGCTGGCGTTGCTCCGCGTCGGCGAAGGTGCGCGGCCAGCCGGTGCGCTCGTCCTCGCCAAAGAGCAGCCAGAAGAGGCTGGTGGCGTTGGCGTTCCGCTGGCGCCGTTCCACCGCCGACAGCAGGAGAATGACGCCCTGGAGGATGTGCGGGTGCAGGGGCAGCAGCGTCTCCGGCGCCGAGGCGAACTGCACCCAGCGCCACTCCTCCGGGCGGCGGCCGTTGAAGTTGATCCGCCGGACGCTGTCCAGGTAGAGGTAGAAGATGCGCAGCCCAGAGTCGAGGAACTTGTCGCGCAGCTCGGAGGAGGCGGAAGCGGAGGAGAGAATGTAGGAGACAATCTTCGGGCGCTTGATGAGCAGGGCGGAGGTGTTGCGCACCAGCTTCTCGTCGGGAATGGCAACGCGGGAGGCGATAAAGTCGAGGTACTCGCAGATCAGCACCGGGTCCGTCTCAAAGTCGAGCGCGTCGATCATCGAGTTGCAGACGGTCTGTATCTGCAGGGGGGTCTTCAGCAGCCCCGGCAGCTTCGTCTGCAGCCAGTTGGCCTCCGGCTGGGCGGAGAGCAGCAGAGGCAGGCCGCCGCCGGTCTCTTCCGTTGTGGTGATGGTGTTGCCACCCGCCAAGAGGGCGTTCAGGTCCTCCTGTCTGAAGGAGACAATGAGGTAGAGGGCCTTGTAGGCGAGCGTCCTCGTCGCCAGCTGCCCCGAGCTGAGCTGGTGGATGATGTATTTTAGGAGCTCGTTTGGCTGCCCCTCATTGGGACCGCTGGACTGGATGACCACCTGAAGGTAGGCGATCAGGCGGAGCAGCTTTCGGCGCTTGTCCTTCTTTCGGGTGCGCTCCGTTTTGGAGCTCGCCTCGGCGTGCTGGGGAGCCCCTGCTGCCATGGAGAGGAGCATCTCCTCGGAGATCTGCCCAAAGAGAAACTCGCACAGGCACTGTACGGGCAGGTAGGAGAAGCTGTTC